TTCTTTTTTGAACCCTGTTAAAGTCCTGGCTTTCACAACATCCTCTGGCAAGGAGTTCCACAGGTTGACTGTGCAATGGGTGACGAAAAACTTCCTTTTGTTTGTTTTAAGCCTGCTGCCTGTTAAGTTCATTGGGTGACCCCAAGTTTTTGTGTAAAGGGAACAAGTAAACAACTTTTCCTTATTCATTTTCTCCACCTCAGCCCTCTCACAGTTCATCATGGCATCACTATAGCTGCATTTAGAAGAACCCTTTGTTCCCTCTGACGGCTTTTTTTCCATGGCTTACAATGGCAAGTCTAGGCACTTACTAAAATTGGACTTACGCTACGATGTTTGCACAGGTTTTTCCAGTTCACCCAGCCCATTCAATTGCTCTGCAGCCATTTAATCGGCACTGTGGACGTCCACAGCACATTCAAGGGTCCAACAATCTCGCTGGCACAGAGTTTGCCATCTACCCCATGCCATAGAGGCTCTAATGAGCAAGTCACTGCGTTTTCTGCATTGGGAGGCTTTTCCTGCCAGTTTTACATCAGTCACATGTTGGCCTATGTAAATGTGGTTTACCAGAGCCTGAGGGTTCTTTATGCAGCCTGTGAGACATTTGGTGTCCCGTTGCCCATGCGCCGGGTTGCCAAATTCTACTGGTTTTCACCCACGTCGTTTTTTTCTCTACCGGTGTGACTAAAGTGAGGGGTATGTGAAGTGAAAGCCGCAACACTGTGAAAGCCGCATACTCCCTCTGCATCCCCTCAAAGCGCTGCTACGGTGGCAAGGGGCATGTGAAGTGAAAGCCGCAACACTGTGAAAGCCGCACACTCCCTCTGCAACCCCTCAAAGCGCTGCTACGGTTCAATCCATGCTCCCTGCAAATTGTACGTACGCCGGCGCAGTGAGAAAAACTACCCTAGCCCGGGAGACCGTCTTGGTTACGACAGTCTTGCAGCCCACTGAGATCCACTCATGCAGCCCCCTCACTAGCCTAGCTTGCCCACCACTGGTCTATGTATTTTCTCCACCTGTCTGACTTCTAGCAAAAGCTGTGTGCCTATCACACAGGCTATTCCTGGGGAGTGGACAGTAGGCCTTAAACTTACCCTTTAAGACAGGGACATTTTTTTATTTGCTGAATCATCACATAGAAAAGCATTGAATGCTTTTCTCATTTCTTCACCTGCCACATTAAGAATTAATGCTCTTGGCAGCCACTCATTTTGTCTGTCCAGGGCCCTGGTCGTGCTGTACAGCTCACATCTTTGCTTCTGCTTTCTCCAATTTTCTGCAGCATTTCCTTCAAACGTTACATTTCCTGGAGGCTTTCCTGGGCCCATTGTTTTCCAGATTCATTCTCCAGTCTTACATTTTGTTTTTCTTCTGACACCATGTGATAGCTGTTGCCACTTGCTATTAGAACATCAGAAAAAATACCGGGGACTTTTTAGGGAACAGGAAACATTTTCCCCAGCTTGTGGCTGAGAAATGTACAGATAACATTGCTGGCATGGCTCCAAGTACAAGCAAAGTGCTTCTTCTGCGAAGGTCCCTACATAAGGATCCTGAAAAAACTCTGCCTCATCCAGGGAATGCATCCGCTTTTTCTGAATAGTTTTCGGAAAAGCGGGCATGTTCTTTCGGAAGCCCTGTATCCCTCATTTTATGAGGAATAAGGGCTCTTCCAAAAGAGGAGGGTTTTTTTCCCACATTTGGCCCTGTGCAGACAAGCCAAATGTTGGAAAAGCCACTTCCAAGAAAAAAAAGGGGAAAAGGTACACACATTTTTCCAGAAGAAGATCAGAGTGTAGACATAGCCCTAGGCTGCTGAGTTGCTATTAGCAAGTCAGGCTCTTTGTACCATACATGGACTGGCTGCAGAGCCCTTCTCCCAGATAGATACACACCAGATGTGTTCTCTATAGGATCTTTTCATGAACTTCCAGGAGGAAAGTAACCATGGTCCCTGTGCCTTGGTCTACTCTAGGGCTACGTCTACACTGGCATGATTTTCCGGAAATGCTTAAAATGGAAAAGTTTTCTGTTATAAGCATTTTCGGAAAGAGCGCGTCTACATTGGCAGGATGCTTTTCCGGAAAAGCACTTTTTGCGGAAAAGCGTCCGTGCCAATGTAGACGCGCTTTTCCGCAAAAAAGCCCCAATCGTCATTTTCGCGATCGGGGCTTTTTTGTGGAAAAGAAATCTGGGCTGTCTACACTGGCCCTTTTCCGGAACAGTTTTCCGGAAAAGGACTTTTGCCCGAACCGGAGCAGCATAGTTTTTCCGGAAAAGCACTGATGATTTTACATTAGATTGTCAGTGCTTTTCCGGAAATTCAAGGGGCTTTTCCGGAAATTCAAGAGGAGGGTTTTTTCCCACATTTGGCCCTGTGCAGACAAGCCAAGTGTAGACAGCTGGCAAGTTATTCCGGAAAAGCGGCTGATTTTCCGGAATAAGTGGCCAGTTTAGACACAGCCTAGGGGTTTATTTCCCAATAGCCTCCCTTATTTCGAAATAATAAACAGCGCATCCACACTACTAAGCCCATTATTTCAAAATAACAAGCTGGTTAATTTGAAATCTGTACTCCTGCTTTTCTTGAGGAATAACACTAATTTCCAAATAGTTGTTTCAAAACAGCTTTCAGGTGGATGCTCCAGTGCCGCTATTTCAAAATAGCTACTCCCTAAAGTAATTCAGACGAATTACTCCCCAGTGCTTCCTGGGGCTCTAAGTTGAGGTAGCACGTCCACATTAACGGAGCCTGCCTCAGACTAATTTTGAGGCTTCCCCATAGTGAGGACACACTATTTTGATTTTGTTATTTCAGGAGTTATTAAATCGATTTTAGTTATTTTGAAATAGTTTCTTAGTGTTAGACATGCCCTGTGGGAGCAGTGGAGGCCACTCAGTTAGGGTGAACTGAAAACAGAATGAGGCAGACACATCCCAAAAGCTGGTGGGTATTCCGATGTTTAGATGTATCAAGCCAGCACAGAACCGTTTCGGTATTACCTCACTGGCTACTCAGAATTCCAAACAACACATTTCCCTTAAAGTGCCCAGACTCAGATCTCCATCCAGGTATTCAGGTCAAATATGTTGATGACCATTGAAAATCATATTTCACCATACAAAAGAAAAAGTTCTGATCCCAAAGGACCAGCCATGCACCCAAGTATAGCTTAGACCTTACCCAAATACATGCTTATAGCCAATTTTTACTATCTAAACTTAACATTTATTAAGAAAGAAAAGAGGGAGCGCATTGGTTAAAAGGTCAATATACACACAGACATGAGTTCCATTCTTGAGGTTCGGCTGTTGTTGAAAAGTCTCAGAGGAGTAACCGTGTTAGTCCGTAACTTTAAAAACAACAAGCAGTCCTGTGGCACCTTAGAGACAAACAAAAAAATACAGGATATAGTATCATGAGCTTTTGTGGGCAAAACCCACGTCTTCAGATGAGATGATCTTGAGTGGACAAGCTCATGATACTATATATAGATATAGATATATTTGTTAGTCTCTAAGGCTATGTCTAGACTGCAAGCCTCTTTCGAAAGAGGCTCTTTCGAAAGATACTTTCGGAAACTGCACGCGGAACTTTCGAAAGAGCAAGCCGCTTTTTCTAAAGAAAGCACCCAGTGAGTCTGGATGCTCTCTTTCGAAGAAGCCCTATTTACATTCAAGAACGCCTTCTTTCGAAAGAAGCACTTTCGAAAGAAGGCGTTCTTCCTCGTGAAATGAGGTTTACCGCCGTCGAAAGAAAAGCCGCGTTCTTTCGATTTAATTTCAAAAGAACGTGGCTGCAGTCTAGGTGAAGTTTTTTCGGAAAAAGGCTACTTTTCCCGAAAAAAACCCTGAGTCTGGACACAGCCTAAGGTGCCACAGAACTACTTGTTTTTATAGAATTGTTGGGCTTTGTAGCTGCAGATGGATCTTTTCAGATCAATCCAAAGTTACTAACTCAATGTCCATTATAAGTGTATGTCCTGGGATCTCATCTTCTGTGGCTTACAGCTTTTCCCAGGAGCACCCAAGCAGGTAGGAGGGATACGGGATCTTTCGGAAAAGGCTTTATTTTCCAAAAGATCCACGTCTAGACTGGTGCTTTTTTCCGGCAAAACTGAGCCGAAAAAAAGCGGCAGCCATTTTTATGCTAATGAAGCGGGGGAGATTTAAATCCCCGCATCATTAGCAATTGCGATACGTCTAATTTGCATCCCTTTTACGAAAAAAGGATGCAATCTAGACGTAGCCATACAGTTTACCACAACCTTCAACAAGACACATGACCAATAATGCTACTGCAATCAAGTTTCATTGTAAATGTCAATATTCCCTTCTGATCATGAATAAAAGCTATCGTGGCAAACAAGGAGCGTTCACATCACAAGACCTGAGCAAACACCTTCCATTCTAATGCTCTAACAACACAAGTTTGCATTTCAAAGTTCCACTCTAACTTACTGTAACAGCCCAACAACTACTTACACATCTTCCTAACCAGCCTTTAAAGGTCAACCCGGGGTCGCTCAGGCCACGTCTTCACTAAACAGAAGATCACCGCTGCCGTGATTGATTTTCCGGAGTTTGATTTAGTGAGTCTAGTTAAGCCTCACTAAATTGAACTCAGAGGGCGCTCTGGTCGGCAGCCAGTACTCCTGCTTCTCTGAGGAGTAAGGGAAGCTGACGGGAGTGTTTGCTCCTGTGGGCCTCCTACTGTAGGGACGGTGGGGAAACTCGAAACATGATACATCGACCCCAGCAACATAATTAATGTAGCTGGAGTTCTGTTTCTTGATTAGACCTTCCCCTTTAGTGTAGACCTGGTCTCAGCCTATAAGATGGTTAACCCTTGCTGGCCATGTGCCACCTTTTAATCAGCTGTCTAATATTTTAATCATATAACTTCACAAGTGGCTTCTGTGAAACTTAGGCATATTCCATGTGGCTGTGCCTAGTAGCTGACTGGTATAATGCAATTTGCCATTTCAGAGTGCCCCCATGACCCAGTTCCTATTGCACCCACAGAATCATCTTCCCTGCTCCTGAGCCCGTGAGGAGTTTGGTCTCTATCAAGACACCGGGATCTGCCATGTCAGAAGAGGGGCCCTTGCTGCAGCGGTTCCTCCAGGGGCAGCCCAGAGTCATGGGGGTGAGCAGAGAGCGGGAGGGAGGCCGAGGACTGGACAGTCTCTCTCTCATGGGCCTGTGTGCACACAAAAAGCTGGTTCTCCACTTCACAGCTCATCCCCTTGTTGCTCCAGCCTCACCCCCTCTGCCAGCCTTACCCCTCTGCACAGTCCTTGGGCCCTTGTGTCAGGCAGGCCCTGGGCCTGTTAGCCTGTGCCTGGACACAGCGCCTGTCTCTGCTGCATGCTGAGGGTGGGTTTGTTTCCAGCTGCAGGCCCTCTTGCTGCTGGTGGGGCTGCTGCAGATGGCCTTCGGTGTCCTCTTGTCCATCGCCCCCTGCACCTATCGGGATGAGCTGCACGTCCACTTCTACTCAGCAGTGCTAGTGAGTAACCCGCCCCTTTCCTGCGCCTCCGGTCCCAGCTCAGCCAGGGCCTCTCTGGCTCAGGGCTGCCCTTACATGTTATGGGGCCCCACGCAATGGAGGGCCCCCTCAGCTTCTGCTGGGGTCCAGGCGCTTCCCCTTCCCCCACTTGTGGGTCCTGCTGGGAGCCTGGCTGCCTGGTGCTTCCCCCCTCCAATCTTCCCCACGCAGCTCCTGTCCGAGGCCTGGGGTTTCCCCAACCCCCAGCTGCACAGTTCCTGCCGGGAGCCAGATGCTTTCCCCAGTGTTCCCCCCTCCCCCCGTGTGTTTCCTGCCAGGGACTTGGGGCTTCCCCCCACCTGCACCCAGCTCCTGCCAGGGGCTAGGACTTCACTCCTGCCCCCCCACCCCTCCCATCCCACACTGCTTTCCTCATCCCCACCTGCAGCTTCCCAGGGCTCAAGGGGTTCCCTGGGGCCAGAGTGGAGCTGCAGAGGGTGGGGGCTCCTCTATGCCCCCACCCCAGTTCAGCAGCAGGGGGCCCTCTGCTGGCCAACAGCAGCCTGTGGGGGCAGGGAGAAGCCCTGAAGCAGGCATGCATTTCACCTATGCCTAGGGATGGCCCAACCCCCAGTTCCTTGCTCTCCCACCCCCGGGTTCCCTTCCTAGCCCCAGCCCTGCTGATGTCCCCCAACCCCCACCTACAGCCTTCCTGCAGTCCCAGCCGTGGGTCTCCCTGCCACGCCCACCTAATACCCCTTAGTCCTAACCTGCAGCCCCCTCCCCACCGCAGCTCTGCCGCTGCCCCTTATTACTCTCTCTCCTTCTCTCGTCCCCTCCAGTTGCTCTTGGCCGGTGTCATCACGCTGGTGGCAGACACAGCCCACAGCTTGGCCCTGGTGAGTAACCTCTTGATAAAGCCCATTTCAGGGCTGCCTCACACCTCTCCTCATTCCACTCCCTGGTAAAGCGACACCCCTCACGGGGACTGGCCTTGCGCTGAGGATTTCTCTCAGTGAGCAAGGTGCAGGGGAAGAGGATGAAGCCACTGGGAGGAGACGGGCCTGGACCAGCGGTTGAGGTGAACCCCATGGGTGGCGGTGTTCTGAGGGGCCGCTGGGGTACTCAAGGCTCGGCTGCATGAAGGGGAGTTGGTGCCACAGGCAGACCTGGGGACAGAGCCAGGTAGGGGGCAGTCCTAGGGAAGAGAAGGGGTGATCCTGGCCCCGCCCAAAGGAGAGGCAAGGCAGAGCCAGTTGGGAGGGAAGGGTAAGTCAGGACAAGAAGGCTGAGCCCAGTAAGATGGATCCAGAGAGGGGCTGCTAGGGGGTGGTCATGGGGCAATTTGCCTCTGTACATGGGTAGGACTCTAGCAGGCAAGCCGGGGTTTCCGAGCTACAGCCGTTCCCAGCCCAGAAGAGTGGGCAGCCGTTCCTTCTCTTAGCCGCGC